TCCGGTTGAGGATTGCTGGAAACAGCAGAATCCCTAGTTGGTGTTCCTTCTAGTAATTTTGAGCGACAATTGATGAATCTTGACCAGTCATTTTCCGCATAAACGAATTTTCGGAAAGTGTTGTTGATGTATCTATCATCTAGCAGTCGAGAGCCATCGATCTGAAACTCTGAAGAACAGAAGTATTGAGATTTGAGGATGCAGTGCTCTCATATCGTGATTGATAGAGAGTTTCCTGTACTCTCTTCTCCTAGTCAGCCATGTATACCAAAATTTGACATATTTTAATAATAGTGAGCTCAAAAAAAGGAATTTCGGGGATGATTGCTGAAACTTGATAGAAAAACCTTGTGAATGATTCAGCCTGAGGTTTTCTCACATTTTTTTCGGGCGGAAATCACTGCTGGAAGAAACGTCAGAAAAATGAAAAAGTTTTGCGAATTCAAAGTTTTCTTCAAGATTCAAGATTGTCAGAATATGTAATCCTCAAAAGGAGTGAGCCATCAATCTCCTCCGTCTGCCATTGTAAAATACGGCAAACGGAAGAAGTCATAGGGTCAGCGATAAAAATCGTTGATTTTACATGATAAATAGAACAGATAATTACATGAAAATCAGCAGACTATTCTGATGTAAAGACGGTATACAAAGTAAACATCAGGAGAGATTTCATAGTGATATTCTTGAGGATGCGGGTATGTCAGCCAGTAGTTATATATTGTCACTGATTCTTACTTTGCAATGTTTGATGAAATTCTGGGCTTTGAAGATTCGAATATGTCAGCCACCTTGATACATCAGAAACTGACCACTGACGAGGATCAGTTGGTATAGGTAGATGGTCTACTTCGCTCCTATAACATATACAACACGTATTCCTTTTGAATTGATGCGCTTGGTAACCAGAACAGTCGGACATTGTGGGAAAAGCTGAAATAAAAGATAAGTGGAAAGATAGTGTATGGAGGAAGTCTATTAATGACAAATGTCCATGAATGACTTGGTCACATATGTATGGATGAAACACATTTCAAAACCACGGATCGAATCCCTAGCAGATTATTCGGACAGTTGGAAAGTACGATTTTACGTCTGGATTCGAGCACAAAAGACAGGAATTGATCAGGTCTTGGTGGCGTTATTCCTGGATTGAAATTCACGGGTGTGGGTGTGGGGCGTGGGTGTGGGCGTGGGCGTGGGTGGGAATGTGAGAAGAGAAGATGCCTACACCCACACCCACACCCACACCCTCATGCCATTCCACTGCTTTTCTGCATATGCATGTTTTCAGTAAAAATGGTCTAGTTCATCAACAACTTGATAGACTTTGATAAACGTTTACACTAGAAATAGTGCTGATACAGGACTACAAAATGAGGGATTGGTCGACTCAAAAGATCTTTCTATTCTCGAGCTATGAGGTTCACAGTGATCATGCATACCACCTATTATAACTCCGTTCTAGTTTGTGCAATTTTGGCGCTGATGGTTCCGCTGATCTACATTCTCTGTGGGCTACCTGCAGAAGAATTTTCAAACGCCTAGCTCTCATAGGGACTAAGATCAGGGGGGGGGCTACTTTTGGCCAGTACTGTAACTTCTTCTTCTGTCAAATAAATTTCACGATGGTATAATAGTAGATTTCATCATAGAAATAATTTTCTTCATCGTGATATTGTATTCTCATCCTCACCCTTACCCTCACACTCTCAAGATAGGGGACTACTATACTGAGAAATTATTTTTCGACTTGCGAAGATAGTTTGACCGGTACCCACTTCGTATATTTGTATGTCTATCTTGAAAGTGAGGGTGACTAGCTAAATAAGAGAAGAATAAAGTGATCATCCTCACTACCACCCTCATCCATCCGACTATACGATGAGAAAGTCATGGTATGAGGTAAGGAAGTTCGAATCATACAATTGAGTTAAATGTACTTACTTGGAGGAGAAGGGCCTGGCATTAGCGTTGAATCTAAAGCAATCAAGCAGAAAGTGAGATACAAGAAAATCCAAGTCGGTTTTTCTAGTGTATGATCTGAATTTTCTGTAATAATTCAAGCGTGCAACCCAATCCTGCTCGAACAAAGAGGAGGGGAGTACCTGAATAAGAGTTGAATAAAGTGATCACCCTCACCATCACTCGCACCCATCTGATTGTACGATGAAAAGGTGATGTTATGAGCTATGCAACTTCGAATTAGACAGTTCAGTTAAATATACTTACAGGGAGAAGGAGCAGGTGTTGGTGTTGGCGTTGGATCTAAAACAATCAATGAGAAAGTCAGATATAGGTAAGTTCAAGCGGCTTTTTTCTAGTGATGATCTCAATTTCCTGAAATCATTCAAGTGTGAAACACAACTCTATCCGAAGAAAGGCATAAGTAAAAAAACTCTATGTATTGAAATATCTATTGTCGAATGCCAGTACTTAGAAACCCGAGTTTTTATCCCATTAATTGCACAGAGAAAACAACTGCATCCGCAAGCAAGATCACGATTCTAGTAGGATAGTAACAAACTATGAAGCTGTGACCAAAAACTGTCAGTGATCTAACGTGACCCAGAGGCTGAGACACTGTTTTGCTTCTACATGCGGACTACTGATTGTCCGTGATCATGAATCGGAGCCCTTATACAACTCTTACCAACTCTCACCCTCCCCTTCTCATACACGCAAAACTTTCGAAAATTGCATATGATTACTCTTATTCCTTGGTAAAGACACTAAATTATTGTATTGAAGTAACTTGTATTAGTTTTTCATTAGCATTCTTAAATTTTTCTTTAAATATAAAGTTTAGAAAAATTTCTGCGCCACTAGAAAAAATTCCACTCATTTGATTAAAATCCGGTGAAACTGTTCAATTTTTAAATATTATCATGACATTTGTGGGATCATGTATACCAGTTTATAGAACTTGATCAGCTGATTCTAATTGAATAAAGCATGCTTCTCCTGAAGGAAAAAGTACGACTTCAGTAGTTCAGTTACTTCAATATACATATACTGCATGTTACTTTAGAGTTAATTCATGTTAGTACGAAGCAACTTCGCTGTTACTTCACGTTCCTATGAATGTCACTGTTATTTTGTTTCAACAGAAAAGAAAAGTGCAACGAAAATTCCAGCTTCAAAGCCACTTAACATTATCACATACACGGATGTCACACGACTGCACCAAGAATATCAAAAGAATTCGCTGGATCAAGCTAGATATCGTTCGAAAACACCCAGGCTTGCTAACCTTTGCGCTTTTTGTGGAAAAAATGCGCATATTTCACCTTTTTCCACCTTTAAAAAAAATGACTGCCGATTTTGAGCAACGGTTACTTATCAGATAACATATGGCTTACAGTGATAGCCAGTCAATTATCATTTACGTAGTGTCTATCATGAATATTGGCGTATCTCTCAACTCAAAAAAAAATATGTTAAATAGAAAAACTGTCTTTTTATCTAGTGACCGTCATGATTTGGCATATGAGAATAAGTTAGTATTTACACAATGCAGAGCAATGAATGAATTAGAAAAAATGAAAGTGAACCCTTTATTTTAAACTTTTTTTTCGTAAAACTGTCAATAATCGTGCACATTGTTTCTCATCAGAGTCATCAGATCTTCTGAAACATAGCGAAAGTTGTTGAAATTCGAGCCGTTTTTTCTGATTTTTTTCCCGATCTTCTGATTTTAGTGCTGTAATTATTCTAGTGAACGATTTTATAAACGTATACTATCTTAAACACATTTGGTAAAACAAATTCGAGAAGATGCAAAATATATATAATAATATCGAGATGTGCTAGATAATCCTTGTGTTTTTTGTTGTGTCTCTTAGTTTACATAATATATATGGGTCTACGAACGATGTGTAACTAAAGGACTATGGAGGTTTGAAAACAAAATTAACCCTTTCAATTGCACTCCACGCTCATGCTCACATACATCCTCATCCTCATCCCCATTGTACCCTTACCTAACATCTTCGGAATTCCCGTGCGTAAATTTCGTCATGTGCATCATGCAGGAACCAAATATATATGCGGTTTGTTTTTGTACTTATTGGTGAATAAGGTTTAAATTTAGTCAAAAAGTTTGACACTATGTGTGATTTATTGTTTTTTTTTCTATTAGCTAAACAATGTATTGATTATGTTGTCTTTCTTTATAGTGAAACACCTTTGAAAATAAAGTCAACGTTCATCAACAAAGACCCAGTGCAGCATTGAATGTCAACATCGTAACATAGTACCCACTAAATAGTTTTCAAAAACCTACCCTTTCTAATTGATTTCTGATTTTGAAAAAAAGAATTTCTGATTTTTAAATTTTGCATCTGGCCACTCTCACCCTTACTCTCAAGATAGAGATAGTTATTTTTTGTTTTTTGTGATGAACATGTGTAAGCTTATAACTTTCTTACTATACGAGCTAGCGGAGACAATCGGTAGTAATTTTGTAGAGCGTGCTTTACTTCCTCTTTTCTCCACGGAGATAAATTTCCAATCACTTATTTTACTATCGCAGAATTTATTATTTAAATCCAGTCAGAATTTCTGAATCGCGCTTTATACCTGCAACATCGATGTCTCTAGAATAAACCATTCGTTCGGACTAAATTTCGGATTTTCCTGAGGGACTACCGGGAAATTTGTTTTTGGAATTTATTTTTTCTACGGGACTTATTTATTTGTAGAGAATTTATTAGGAATTATTAACTGTATCAATATTTCAGTGCATTCGCACTGCCGATATGCATGCATGCATGCACTGAGGAATTGTGTGAGATATATTGCAACATGCGTAGAAACTTATTGAAAAATCGCAAAAAAATTCCAACAAAGTAAGTCCCCCGTAGCTGCTGATTTTTCTACCAGCAACTGCTGATCTACTTGTCCCACAAACATCACTCGACTCGGAGACATCGAACATGAATTGAACAAGTTTGGGCTCAATCAGTTCATTTCCAACGTCAAATGTCTTTTAGAAATAAAATTTACCTACCGATTTTGGTACCAACTGTAGTGAGCGATATATGTTGACTCTGGATTGAACTGACTCTATGTGGTTTTTGATTCCCTTTACTCTCGTTTGATACGCCTTTACAAACATCACGCATGAGTATTTCGATGTCTGCGTTGGGTTTTGCTATATGTTGAAGCAAATGAAATGTAAATAGACCATTCCGACCATTCCTGGCAACATCCTGAGCCAATTTTCCAGGAGCACAAGCAAAAACAATGATTGAATCTCCCACCGCCTCCATACTGGTAAGACCGGTAGGCGATGCTGAAGCACCTCTTGTTCGTGGACCTAATAAAGCTTCATTTTTGACACAATAATCACGACAGCAATCTAGAAGAAAGATGGTTGCTGCAGGATTATTATTCGACATGAGTTCAAGAGTATCTTGTGCATTGATAGCTCTAGTCTTGAGATGTTCCTTGGTTTTTATTCGATCACTGTCAATGGGTAGTAAATAGTTTTGATCGTTCCATTGAGTTCCGTGACCAGCAAAGAAGAAGACAACCAGATCATTCATAGAAATGGAATCTATGAAGTCATCAATGGTTCGTCGCATCGCAGCGAAATCAGCATCTGTCAGCGCGGTAGCAGTAAAATCAATGGAGCGCAATTTTTCTGACAAATCATGCACATCATTAATGCAACACGTGAGTGGTTCCTCAGTTACATATGAGTTGTTGCCAATCAAAAGAGCAAGTTTCTTTTGCCTTATTTGTGCACCAGTCATGTCGATATTTATCTAGAATAAAACAGAAACAGCGTTTAAAACCCAATAAAAGAATAAAACATGTCTTATTCAGTAAATATATAAGTACGCTATTGATTAAAATCTATTCTACATAATATCCTTCTGATCATCATCCATAAAGCGAAGATTGTAGAAATATTACTTCCAGCAAACGTTTTCAAGATAACTTCTTCATTTCCAACACTTTTCCTAATTATCTTCAAGTCTATTCTTTTCAGACTATAAGTTAGATATTTTGTATCCCATTTATTCTACCATAAATGCACAAAATCATGTTTCCTGCGACGGTGAGGGTGGGGTGGGTGTGGGTGTGGGCGTGGGTGTGGGTGTGGATGTGGGTGTGAGTGTGAGTGTGGGTGTGGGTGTGGGATGTGCGTGTGCATGTGGGTGTCGGTGTGGGTGTGAGTGTGGGTGTGGGGTAGGAGTGTCAGTTTTGCGTTCCGTTCCTAGGAACGGGAACGCATTTACGTTCCCCGTTTTCAGGAATGGGGAACGCAACTCAAAATCGCCTTTTCAGCTTTATTTCAACAGGGCGGGGTTTCTAGATGTGTTCGCTTGTCTTTTTATGTTTGGGTGTTCCGCGTTCCCTGTTCCCGTTCCTGAGAACGGGGAACCCAACATACATTCGTTTCAGTTTTAATGGAAGCTTTACAAATTCAGCGAAGGAAAACCAATGTGATAAAAATCATGGATTTTTATGAAGTTTGACCAAATGTAATCGAGGTTAAGGGGGGGAGGTGTCCGCACCCTAACATACCCTGAAACTTTGTCAGTCTGTAGAGAATATCTTCAATAGTATAACTGTGCAATACGAAAGAAATTTGTTAAATATTGACTGAGTTTTTAATTAATTAAGTTCAAAATTCATTAACATTTTTGGCTTGAGAAGTATTTTTTTTAAAATTGTCTAGTTTTTCATATGTATATTACTTTTAATTGATTCCAGTGTAGTTTTGCAGAGAACTGTCTGCAGATACAATTCCATATTTAAAAAGTACAAAAATAACTTGTCTAGACACCTTTTCATTATTAATTAGTCGGAATTAGTGCTAATTAATAATAGTGCAGTGGAAAAAAGTAAGTTTTTCCAATACTAAAATAAACGGAAAGAAATTGTTTTTTATATCATTCGATAGAGCTTTTCAAGCTCTATCGATTGCTACATCCCTTTTTTTAAAGCTTCCATTTTCAAAGAGAAAAATTCGATATGAGAGACAAGATGCGACAAAACCGGTACGTATTAGGCGATTTCACCATTATACTTTTGTTTACGGTAAAATGAATATAATATTCAGAACCAGCATCTAAAATTGACCCAGAAAACACATCTTTTTCTGACGAAAAAAATATTCACCAAAATCGAATCTTGACAAATCCACAGGCGAAATCATACTTGAAAAGGCTGAGGGGTATACGGGCGTAGTTTTGACAGAATTCTTCTGGCAGAAAAAAATATTTTTTCTGGGTCAATTTTTGATGATGGTTCTGAATATCGTATTCATTTTGTCCTTAAGTAAAAGTACAAT